GAGCGAGCGGCCACCTGAAATCGCTGAAATAGCGAAGTGACCGTTGCCCATAGACATAGGCAATTGCATATGCGTTGCCTACCTTTAATCGACGGAGGAGAGGATGCACAGAAAGAAAATATTTTCCCTTCCCATGCATCCTCTCATCCGGAAAGTCCACTTCCACTTCCCATCCTGTCCTTATAAGAAAAAGGGTGGGAAGGGAAAGAGGACTAAATTAGGCATCCGGGACGCACACTCATCAGACGAAACGCGGAATTGCTTCATTCACGCCTGTCTTCTGTGTGGTCGTGCTATTTCACCGGGCGAGCCGGGACAATTCGTGCGAAGATGTTAAAGCGGGCTCTACCACTGTTTGGTTCTCTGCCACTGGTACCTTTTGGTTTAGAATAAATTGTTTTACCTTTATGATAATTGACAGAAAGCGAGAGGAATATAGAAAGTAAAAAACAAAAAAGATCAAAAGCATATTTAGTCACGTGAAATTTATAAAAACAATTTACATCCGAAAGTCAATTTAATTTAATAAAATGTCGTGTAAAAATTAAGATAAAAGAATACTTAAACTATAGAACTTTAACTTGAACAATTCACTGCTTAACTTTTTAATTTACACTTAAGTCTCTTAAAGAATTTTCTCGACCAGCGCACTACTATTGATACGGCTCTAAGGAATTTCTCATTTGTCACTTACACGTAGACAATTTGTCATGTTGTCTACTATATTTGATTTATAGCTACAACAATTATTTACTCTGATATTATTTACACGCTATTAAACATGCAATTTCTCATACAGTGTTTGGAGAAATTATGCTATTATTTTTATACAGGCGCTTGAATTATATCTACTTTTATGACATTAATGCCTTACTGTGAGTTTTCACTGCTGTAACATTGCGAATACATAGTCATCTTTCTTATTTTCCTTGGAAACAAAAAGAGATGACAATTCTCGTTTCCGCAGTAACACACAAAATCTGTTAAATAGCTTTTAATTATAAACAGGCGCTTTAATTTCTTAAACATAAATGATAAAACTATTCAGATTTTTTTCATCATAAAACTTTTTACATATTTTAGGTCACAGTAAAAGTTGGTGGTTCAGCGACAATTTTCTACGGAACCCAAGTTAAAATTAAATGCCCCGTCAAAGGATACAATAGAACGAAGATTCAATGGGCGAAGGACCATCAGATTATAACAAAATCTAAAAAGCATAAAATTTCTAAAAAGGTGAGTTTTCCTTTCTTACATTCCAGGTGCAGACAAATTGATTTAGAAGATTATTGTCCATTTACTTTAATCATTCTCCCACCAGGGGGCGCTACGCATCACCTCTCTTTCGCTCCGTGACCACGGCGTATACACGTGTGTAGCAGGCCGGTCTAGTGCCAACTTGACTCTTGTCGTCAAACCACGACCTGGAGAATATCCTACCAGTGAAGAGATAGGACAGCCTAAGCCATTGGATGACCCGTCGTCTTTATCTGACAGGTCAGACAAACACTTCTAATTCATGAAAACAACATTGTTGAATTAAGGTTAGGTTAGCTGCTTACGGAACATTGGTGATCGTACGGTGATTTTAGCAAACGAACGAGCGACCACGTGAAATCGCTGATATAGCGAAGTGACTATTGCCCATAAACATACGCAATTGCATATGCGTTGCCTACTTTTAATCGACGGAGGAAAGGATGCACAGAAAGAAAATATTTTCCATGCATCCTCTCATCCGAAAAATCCACTTCCCGTCCTGTCCTTATAAGAAAGAGGTGTGAAAGGAAAGAGGACTAAATTAGGCCTCCGGGACGGACTCTCATAAGACGAAACGCGGAATTACTTCCACTTGACGCCTGTCTTCTGTGTGGTCGTGGTATTTCACCGGGCGCGCCGGGCTAATGTTAAAGTTAAATTTATCAAATATATCTTTAAAATCTTGTTTTAGAAACACGTGGTTCTGCTTTATTCTTTCGTAATATTTCTTGAACTTATCCATTATGTTATCAAGCAGGTCGGACGGTCGCGCGACATCCGGAAAAGTGGATGATCAATCACACGAACAGCGGCCCGGTGACCAGAGGAAAACTTATAAAAGCAGACAACGAGGTAACGTGGTCTTTCTATCATATCTAACTTAATGCTAAATTACATATCTTACTAATATTATAAATACATATGTTTGGGTAGATGGATGGATGGATTGTTTTTCTGAAGGTATCTCCAGAAAGGCTGCATGGATCTCATACGAAGAACACATAGGCGAACACTAATTAAGTTTTTTTTTTTATTCCGCGGACGGAGTCGCGGGCGACAGCTAGTATGGTATATTAAAATCTAAAAGAAATTAAAACGACTGGATAACATTAGCTAGGTTTAATTTAATAAATACAACCTGTGAAACCTATTTTTTTCGTTATTATCATCATCGGCTCACTATACGTCCCCACCGAGGGGCTCGGAGCCTACCCTAAGTTAGTGATTAGGCCATCAACCACGCTGGCCAAGTGCGGGTTGGTTAACTTCACACATATCTTCGAATTTCTTCTCAGATATGTGCAGGTTTCATCACCGTAAGATCGTCGGATAAATGTACATATAATATGTAAATCAGAAACTCGAAAAACACATTGGTACATAACGGGATTCGAACCCAGGACCTGCAGATTGCAAGTCAAGTGCTTGACCCCTGAGCCACCGAAGCTCACATGCGTTATTACTATTATTTTCATTTAATAAAAATGAACACAAAAATTGTCTTAGGTAAACTAGATAAAGTAAGAGATGCGCTCTACGGCAGTGCAGGAACCCCGTCAACTAAATCACCAAGCTTCAATTCTCAAGCCCGTGATATCTACGATGAGAACGAGGTACGTATTTTATTACATTTGTTCTTACAATCTTTATATATATATATATATATATATAATTCTTCTGTGAGTGTGTATGTCACTGAAGTCTCAAACGACTGGACCGATTTTGATAAAATTTTTTGTGTGTGTTCAAGGGGATCTGGGAATGGTTTAGATTCACAATTTTCATCAAATATTAACTTCATATTAATTTTTTCAAATTAAAGACGTGTAGACAGGACAACGTCTGTCGGGTCCGCTAGTGTTAAATAGAAATGGTGAAACTGGTCTCGGATGTATTTTAAAAGGACTGGAATTTCCTTCTATTAAATTTACTTAACGCGGTTATTATGATACGTTGGTTAAACTCTAGTTTGATGTATCTGTAACGTAATTTAAGTCATTAAAGCCAGTCTTCTATTTTGAATTGTACCTCTTTGGTATGGCAGTCAAAAAGCTATTTTAATTTTAAGAATTGAAATCATAGGCAACTGTAAACAATAAATTTAATTTGCAATGTAAAAAATAAAAATGCAATGACATAACCTCAAACATTTTAAAACGCGAACACTTTTTATTCCTTCTAGCATTTGTTTTTTGTTAAACGAAGGAACATGAGCTTATCTTACTAATATTACAAATGCGAATGTTTAGATGGATGGATGTTTGTTTGAAGGTATCTCCAGAAAGGCTCCATCGATCTCGCTGAAATTTAGCATAGATGTAGAACATAGTCTGGGAGAACACATAGGCTACTAAGTTTGTTTTTAATTCCGCGCGGACGGAGTCGCAGGCAACAGCTAGATCTTCAAATAATTCTTTGTATCGTTTAGAGATGTTAAAACCGTGACTCCTTATTGTCTCGCGATATGGCGGCGCTAAATATAATTTTATTGCCGCAGTAAAGTATGCCATAAACTTTATTGAGCCCATTTTACTGCAGAACTTAGCAAAATTACTTACGATATCTAATCATTATTGCTTTTAAAGAAAGTTCCACTCACAAGCATAAATGTGCCAAGCAAAAAGTTCTAAGTGTTCAGATTATAGATAAATGTAAAATGAATATAAAATTAAAACAATAATTTGAATTGAATTATTATTTAACGAAAATTTCTTCATTTTTTTTTTGTTTTTTTTTAATTAAAAATATTAGCAGATTTTTTTGTAATTTTACTAATTTTTTTTTACCATTCCAACTAAGCTCTAGGCTTGTGCTAGCATATGGTTTACGACAATAGTCGAATGGCGGAATTCGAACCCCCGACCTCGTGATCGGAAATCTGTACCCTTAACCATTAGGCTATTGACGCTTTGACTCTACAGCGTATAAAACGTCACCTTAAAATAATCATTTTAAACATTGATAAAAATTGGTACCTTTATTACTTTACAAGGCAACTTATTAAAATAACTAGAAGTTTCAAATCTCACTAATATTATAAATGCGAAAATTTTGATGAATATATGATGTTTGTTAGAAGGTATCTCCAGAAAGTATGAATGGATCTTGATGAAATTTGACACAGATGTAGAACATAATCTAGAAGAACACATAGGTTACTAATTAAATGAGTCGCAGGCGATGGCTAGGACTCTACGAGTAGTAATATTCGGGGTTAGAACTATTCATCATCATCAGCTCACTATTCCTACCGAGGGACTCGGAGCCTACCCTAAGTTAAGGGTGATAAGGCCATAGTAAACCACGCTGGCCAAGTGCGGGTTAGAACAATTGTTGATTTATAATTTTTATGATTGTTAACTTTGTGTTCACGCCGCTTGGGACTTTACGAACAAAAGGAGAGTGCAGTCTCTTCTAGGATGCTACCGCCAAAACCAAGCAGTGCTTCCCGACTGTTACCATGTCTGCATTACATTATAATGCAAGTTCAGGTGAGATGTTCCTAAAATAGAGCATGCCAACCGGGACCTGGATGACACTAATATTTCATCTATGGCATGCTTTAACCGGTGTCATTTCTACTGGTTTGATTTGTCGTGTCTCATATCTTCTATGGCTCATTTAGTTCATAATTGGGAATTTCAAATATTGTGTCACTAAATTCTTCTTGTGTTGTACAAATTTCTTAGTATTAATCGTTACAATAATCCGGTTTCTTTTAAATAAAAACATTTTAATTGATAAATTTAGATGTTTTTGGGTTTTCAGACAATCTTGGGGATATCTCGAGGTCAAAGGATGGTGGATTCTATAAGCGTGTACCAAAATCACGTGGCTCCAACAAAAACACACTTCGTGAATCTCGACGACAAGCAAATCGTTTACCCAGAAGATGATTATTCTGATATAATAATTGTTAATGAAGATTACATCAGACAGACAATCGAAAGAGCTGGACAGAATAATTTCAAAGAAGACGTTTATGACTTAATTGAGACTACTGTTGCACCAAAAGAGGAAATGTAAGAAATAAAAAAAAGATTTACTGATTCCCTTTACCTAATTATTGTATACGTTGGCAAACGAGCAATTTGCTAACATGACATAAGCGACCATCTCCATAAATATCTCTAACATTCTATATAGGTTTTTCATAGAAGCAAAGGACAAATAGAATGCAAGTCCTATATTAAATTGCAAATTAAATAACACTTTCTTTATTTTTCAGTGTACTTATGCCGGCTGAAATGGCCGATGGCATTGAGTATTCATGGATGACGACCGAATGGTCCGGCTGCAGCGCCCCTTGTGGTCAGAGCGGACACCAAGTGAGAGGAGCTGTTTGTCAGGTAACTAAGTCACCGATAAACCAACTTATATTGAAGGAGTCCTAATTCGTAGTATCTAACCAACACTTTAACTCTTGTTAAAGCCAAAAGGAATAAGAAAGAGAGCTAAATTGTAGAAACCGTAAAATGTGGACACGGCATTTTGGAGAAAAAAGCTATAAATACTCAAGAAGCTAAAGCTTTAAAACACATACAGGATGTTTTTTCACTAATGCTTAAATTTTGTTGCTTCTTAGTATAAGAGAGACAACATCACGACAACCGTGGAAGCGGAGGAGTGCTTGGGACGTGGAGCGAGTCCACCGAACGTACTACGAGAGTGCCTGGGACCCGTCTGCGCAATCTGGCATACATCTGCCTGGTCATCACCGAAGTGCTTAGCCAGTGGAGCTGGTGAGAATTCATATGTGAAAGTAACTTAGTAAAAGTCTTGGTATCAATGTTAATTGCTTCAGAATTCTGTTGTATATTGGCTTTAGTCGTTTAGTCCAATTGGAATTGGTGTCATTTAAGAAGCATTAGTACTCCCTCCAAATACCCATTAACTTTGACATCGTCATCAACACAAATCTATGGTTAAACTGCTATGCTGATGAAGAGAGACGATAGTACCGTGGACGTCTAATTCTAGGACTTGAAGAAAACGGTGTGTACCTATTCTATTTATGTTCAAACAGCACTTCTGCGTCGCAAAGTGGAATGCATCACAGAGAACGGCACCAAATTACCAGAGTCCTCGTGCTCAGCTGAATCTCGTCCGGCGAAGACCAAACGACAGCCGCAGCCCTGTAAGCCAGCCTGGTCTGTCGGACCTTGGAGCAAGGTTAGTTGAAATTACATGAATCTAAGTGTAACATCTGAAAATTCCTACTGTTGCAATATTAAGAAATTTGCACTTTCGCTAACAACTTTTTAATGTAATCATCATGAGCGTACACGTCCCCACCGAGGGGCTCGGAGCCTACCCTAATTTGGGGCTGACTAGGCCATAGTCTACCACGCAGGCCCAACGCGGGTTGACGTCACACATATCTTTGATTTTCTTCTTAGATATGTGCAGAATCACGATGTTTTCCTTCACCGTAAGAACGTTGGATAAATGTACATATGTAAATCGGAAATCGAAAAACACATTTGTACATGGCGGGATTCGAACCCAGGACCTGCAAATTGCAAGTCAAGTGCTTAACCCCTGAACCACCGACGCTCAATTAATATAATATTGAATGCAAAATCTTCATTCGGCAAACTTGTATTGTCAAGTTATAGAATGTTTGCTTAAAACAAAAAAGCAATATTGTATTCCAAATTCAAAATTTTATTTATTGAAAAGGAAACGGAAGGATTATTCAGGAATGAAAGAATTTTTCGTCTCTTTTGTTCTTTATTTATATGCCTGAATTTTTTGGTGATTCTTTTTTTTTTTTACAATACTTTTTCATCAGAACGTATTGTCTTATACCTCGCATTATTAAGTAGAGTTCTGGAGGAAACTTTAGAAAGAACATAAAAGTTTTATTATATAAAAGACGTGTAGGTTTGTATAAGTATCTTTGATAATATTTTGTACTATTTTGCTTAAAAATTGGAATAATAAAATTGACCATTTGCAACAATTCATTTAAGCAAGCAGTTGACCGTATTTGAATCTCAAACTTGATTCGACGAGACAAATTGAGTTACCAATTGATGTCGATTTGGTTCTAACTCTATTAATCAAATCGATTTAACATGTCTGTTATATGTCCACGACATCGCATATATGTATATGTAACATCACGTAGTTTACGACAGATTACTGTACATATACGTGCCAGAGGTCGGTATCCATAGACATCTACATCTATCTTTAATCGATGGAGAAGGGGACGCACGGAAGGAAAACATATCCCCTTCCTATGCGTCCATCACTCCGTCAAATCCACTTCCAATTATTTCCTTTCAAAAAAGATGGGAAAGCGAAAGAGAACTCCGGCACACACACTCGAAACGCAGTGTGACTTCCACTTGATGCCTGTCTTCTATGTGGTCGTGGTATTGCCCCGAGTTAGACCTACTTATGCAACAGTTGTGTTGCTGGCACCTACCACTGTTGTAGCTATATTTTATCTTACAGTGCATAGGTCTATGTGGAACTAAGGGTCAACAACACCGAGTGCTCCGATGTGTGTGGCGTGCTGTAGGCAACAGCAAATCGAAGCGCAAGCGGGAACGCAGTGCTGGCACCGCTTGTGAGGGTTTGAAGCGACCGGTAGTTACCAGATCATGTAACGTTGCTCCTTGTCCTGTCAACAAAGGTAATTGATTAGCTTAATTGTTTTATATTTGAGAAAAAGTGTACTTTTTAAACGTCTACCAAGGTCAGTTAGCCTGTTACAAAGGGTCTACCATGAATATATGTGAAAAAATTTTCGTAACGCCATCGACAAAATTAGTATTAAAAATTTTGCACCCCTACAAGTTGTAAAGTAAATTTTGGATCACCAAACCAACCAAATTTTGGATCATTGGTCGAAAATATTCGTAGTATGTCTTCAGATGTTAATGGACGATGATAAATTCTGAGCGACCTTTATTGTTTCCATTCTTTTATAAAAAAAAATTAAATTTACTGGCAAACAACCATAAATGAGTAAGTCAACTGATTTAAAGCTATCACTATTGCCGCAACGCTTACAAACACTGGTGACATAAAATTAAAATTAGGAAGAAAAAGAGGGGAATATGGTATGTATTAGAAAAGGATGGAGTCAGCAGATTGTGGTCATCTCTTCTTAATGTTGGATATCTCCACTTGAAATATGATGGATATTTTATTACTAAAACTGGCTATTAATATGTTTTTCTGTTTATAGATGGTATCTGTAAAGATGGATCAAGATATTGCGAGAACGTTCGTGCAATGAATATGTGTGCATTGAAACGATACAAAGAACATTGCTGCGAGACTTGTCATAACTGATGGTGTCACTGCCCAACTCTTGTCGTCTCTATCTTATCATAAAGAAAGAAAGGGATAACAATACTAGTACCATAGTTGGAATCAACAGTAACAAGTTAGAAAAACAAATGAAATACGAAAAGCTTCAGTGATTTAAATTTAAATTAAATAAACTTAATAATATACCAGGATTAAATCAAAATGAAGAATTATATTAATAATGTCAAAATAAGTGCAGTGCCAAAAACTAAATAACGAATCTATGGGTCTGCGGTAAGTGATTGTGTGATTGGTTTGAAGTTGTCGTGTTATAAAACAATTTGAACATAGTTCTATCAAAGGAAAATGAACTCTATGGAATTGTTAAAGGTAAAGGAATAGAAAAATAATGGATTAATTGTTGTGCTTGGATGTAATGATATTTATTGCAAATAGATGATGTTTGACACGCATTATAAAAAAAAAATAATTGGGCAAAATAAATTTGTGAAAAAGTTTGCAATCACTAACTACATTTGATTTATTTTAAATAAATGATTCTATATAACATTAAAAACAACATCAACTAAAAATTAAAAAAATATATAAATATATAAAAAAAATTACTTTAGTCTTGAACAATTTTAAAAACGCAAACTTAGTGAACGCAAACTTTTTTATGTGTACATTTATATCTTCAAAATACTTTATGTCTTGATCCTTTATGTAAAAGTATTTTGGCATTTACTATTCAAAATATAACATATTATGTAAATCAAAATATAGAAATATGTATATTAAAAACGTCAGGTGTGTATGAAAAGATGTCATGATCTTATCGATCTGAGCACAAAGACTTGGAAGTCGAAAATTTTCGGACCTTTTAAAAAAATATAGACACATCAAAAAAAACGTTAACTAACAAAAGTTGAAAATTTTTATTATTTAGTTATTTTTTTTAAATTCAAAAAGTTTTTTTTTTTAAACGTGTTAACTTGATAAAGGTTCATTTTCAAAATCAACTTTTGGTAATTAGCGTAATTTTTTTTCTCAACGGGTCTTTGAAAATTAATTATTTGTAATATATATTATATAAATATATGTATAAATAAGTAAATACGCACCGTATGTTACGCTTAAAAATTATATCATTTAATGTAAAATATATAAAAAAAATGCACAAAAACATATAGTTAACACAGTATAGTAAAATGTAGTAAAAAATTAAAAAGCAAAACCTAATTAGATATGTTTATTAAAAGACACTTAAATAGAAAAAACATATATAAAAAAAATTAAATGTAATTTCTTATGTATATTAAAATTATAGAGGAATTTCATGAAAAATCTAATCGCTAAAATTGATGTATATAAAAACTTATTATTCATAGAATGATAACATTTATCATGATTAGTTGCTTATTTCATATACAAAAGTAATTTTATAAAACTCCTTACGCAAAATGTCATAACTCGGATTTTGTAAAAAAAAACTCAGCTTTTCAAACTTTACTTACTCTACAAGACCTTAATAATCATTAAAAAAAAAGTTGAAATTTTAATATCCTATTATTGCGTTACAACTATATGCGTAGAAGTCCATTGTATGCGTGAATTTTAGCCAATGAGAGCGCTCAGATTGATGTGTTAGCGCTGTATTTACGCACACTAACGTAATATGTACACAATACAACTACATTTATAAATAATTAATTTGTTGTCAATTGTTAGTAAAATATACCAATGTATATAATTATTATAAATAAACTTTATTCCAAAGCGTTTAAAATTAATTTAATGCTGTATACTGCGATTTTTCGGGACGCGGCATACGGCAGAAAAGTCTGTCGTTTGTCGTCTGCCGCGTGCCGTGAAATCGCACCTTAAATGTTACGCCATAAAATATTAATCTATCGTTAAATACTGAAATAAATTTAGATTTATGCTTATTTAAAAAAAAAGCAATCAAAAATAAATCTTGCTTTTTCTTTTTATTATTAAATCCATAAAAAAAATCCAAGAAATTTCCAGCCAGTAATAATTGATTAAAAAGTTTTCTACCCTAAAATAATTATATAAATTTCAATGCTTTCCAAAATCATTTATAAGAAAATATTCGTCAACTTTAATAGCATCATTAAGTCAAATGCTTAAAAATAATTCAAACATAAATTTCGATAAAACTATAAAATATTACATCTTAATAGGCTTTATTTGTGCGACTTAGGGACCTTCAAGAAGCGAGCATACTATTTCCTTAGAGGCCGGCAACGCAACTGCAGTTCCTCTGGTATTGCTGACGTCCATGGGTGTCGTTGATCACCTCGGTGTTCCCGCCGCCTGTTTGCCCATATTAAGTGCATAAGTTCCGTCAATAACTCAAGAATGTTTCGAAAGCTTTGTACCAATATACTTAAAAAGAAAAAACCTTTTACTTTATCTACCAAATATCCTTAACTTTTTTAATTACTAACAATTTTCAATGCCATGTTTTTATCTAGCGCTATATTTTGCCAACCATGTTATAAAGTTGTTAATTTATTTGTACTTTTTAAGAATTCTTGTTGTTCAACCGTACTCAGAGTTCTATAATGGCTTAGTGTAGATGTCTCGTAATATATCTGTATTAATCACAGTCACCATTTGAAGATTCTGAGTACGATTAAGTCTATTCTAGAATTTACATTGTCACAAGATAGAGAAAGTTCGTGCTATGACCTTTTTATTTTTAATCCTATATTTAAGTCCAATATGTAAATTGTATCGAATATTTTCAAAAAAATATACGAGTAAGTTACTGAAAGATGTGTTTTATTAATTTACAAACTTAAATGCGAACGCAACGTTATATCAAAATCCAGTTGCTAAAAGTAGCAGATGTTTCCAAAAAATATGTATAAAAACATATAGCCATCCCATTTATTTTATTCAAATAAAACAGAGACAGGAATAAACGTTATTACGTGTGAAACTTCACTTTAATAATTATGTTTTCAAATTAAAAATCTACTACATATGAAGGTCGTTAACATTGGCGTCGACGGAGTTGGGAACCAGATCGACCCCCATCCCTAGAAAATCGAAAAAAAATTAGATATATAAACTTCTTTGAAATACTTTTATAAGATACTTATATAGATACCCGACAGACGTTGTCCTGTCTACACGTCTTTAATTCGAATATAATTTAAAATTTGACACTGCGATGGTAGCGCCGTTTGTCGGATCCAATGTAAAACATTCCAAAATCAACAACTACTAATAAATTAAAAATTAATTAAAAAAACATTGTCCAGCGGACAAAATTGTGAATCTAAACCATTCCCAGATCCCCTTAAACACGCACAAAAAATTTCATCAAAATCGGTCCAGTCGTTTGAGAGAAGTTCAGTGACATACACACTCACAGAAGAATTATATATATAAAGATATATAGATAGATATAGATCTATATAGATAACTCCAAAACGACTTGTCAATTCCATGATTTCCTAGCTCATAAACATTACCCAAAGGTAATTACCAAACTTCAAAGAATAAAAAAAATCCTATCTGAAATTGTAGCAAAGATTAACGGCTGGGTATATACTTGGTCGTTAACCCTTTACATTCGAAAGAACATGAATAATATAATACTTTCTCAAAGTATTACAGGATACTTATTAAATTTTCATTAATTTTAAACAAGAAACGACTATTATAAAAGAGCTAGATATTCGTATTGCTTTAACTTCGTCTAGACACTGATCAAACACTAATCCGCCGAGAATGAGTATTAACGAAGTCCGTGTATTTTCAATTATACGTTCTCTTGAATATTCAATTTCATTTTTTAAAGACATCATTATTTCTTCTAAATAAAATCCATTATGTTTTTCTTGTCCTCTGGAATACTAAGTCGATAATATCTTTACTGTCGTATATACCGATATCTACGTGAATGTCTACACCTAGGTCTACGTCTACCTCTATGTCTACATATTTAACGTAATTAATAATTAGTACGACTAATTAGTTATTAGTATTAATAACTAATAATTACTAAATATAATATTAAGACTAAGTAGTAACTATTAATCAGTACGACTATTAGTAACTATTAATTTATAATTAGTACGACTACTAAGTATCTATTAATAGTTACCTGCACAAGTTACTAATTTGTCGTAATAATTATAAATTAATAGTTACTAATAGTCGTACTAATTAATAGTTATTACTTAGTCGTAGTAATTATTAATTAATACGATCGATCTTCTGAATCGATCCGATCGAAATGAATCAAATAAATGGGTACTGTAATTTAGGTATTTTATAACTTTTTAATATTTAAATAGTTTGTCAACACCACATTTTTTGATTTAATGTTTTATTTCTTTATATACATATGAAGGATAAAGTAGGAATAGAAAGAAACAATTTTACTTATATTGTAATTCAAAAATATTAATCACGAAAATTTCGATTGCAATTTCTATGAGACTAACCATCGAAAATCGGAAGAATTCTTAATCGATTTTACTCAACCCATATCGAGTGAATTATCAATTGAATTGTCAAACTAATATATCACTATAGTGTGTCTATTTAAGATAACTAATAAGATAAAAAAGTTAAAGTGTTTATTTATTTTATTACTATTTTTACAAAACCGATTCTCGATAGTTTATAGTTGTTCATAATGGGCATACGGTCCGAAACTATGACAACCGTCTATTAAGTACAACATTAATCCTCATACAAAATTAATTCGATAATTTATAGGCGTCAGTTTTCAAACTAATCTATCTTAAATAGACACACTTTATATTAACAGAACTTCTTAAATGCCAAACATGCAAATTAGCATACGTCTCTTCAATTTTAATCAAGAAAGTACAAACAGATACAACGTGTTTGATTTCAAAAGCTTTGAGTATTGAAAGGCCTGTATTGCATTAAGCATCACGTTACTACAGGATCGGGATTTGCGAAGACTCCACAGGTAATCCGATGCACGCTTGCATTGCTAGAGACGTTGGGTAACTAACGTAGGTGTGGTACAAGGTAAGAGATCACGCGTGAATCTCAGTATATAAAATTCTAGTCTTTTAATAAACTTAAAAAAAAAACTAAGAAATATTATATGATGTCCAAACAATTGATAGAAAATCGAAAAACACATTGGCACATAGCGGGATTCGAATCCAAGACCTTTAGATTACAAGCCAATTGTTTAACACCTATGCCACCGTCTCTTTTGGGTGGATACTATATTGTTCAAGGAGCTTAGGGTAAGACAAAATGCGTTCTCTCTGAAGCGATTCCATAACGAATTTAATTGTAACTTTCAGTCACGTGCGTCTGTTCCATACATTTTGAAGTTCGTTATGGTATCGCTTCCAAGCGAATGCCTTTTGTCTAACCACGCTTGTCATCTGTAAAATATGAAAGGAAAATATAAGGAATCGATAGTTTAAAGTGCACGTATGACCCGAAACTGGCGTAATTGTTTT